CGAGACTTGTACAACCCATGTACAATGTGAATGGATATGCCCTAATGCCCTAATGGACAAATAGATGGACATGCATGGATATAACAGTATACTATCATACTATACCATTGTCAATGGTGGTGAAATTCAGTGCATCACCGACGCATGGATTGCTAAGGTTGGCCGCAACTTTCTGTATAATTGTCTGGCCGCGAGTTTGTCTGTGTATAACTTTCTTCGTGAATATATTTTGCATTATCGAAGGAAGTTTCGAAATCAAACTTCCAACAATATGGGCAGATGAAAAGCAGAGATGGGAAGAGGCAGAGAGAAGAGAAGAGTAGAAGAGAGCAGATCAGAGAAGAGAACGAGTCAGAAGAAAGAAGATGCAGAGGAGCCAAAAGGTAGTGTTTTCCAATGCCTTGTGGCTCCGGAGGGTCGACAAGTAAGCTCGCTACAGCGGCGGGCGCGGAGCCAGCTGCCCAGATGAGAAATACAAAATTGCACGCCGTTGTGGCGTGACGTCCATTTCGAAGTCAACATGCACAAAAACCAACATGTTTGGACCGCCTTTAGCAGTTGAGATGGAGAGATAGAGAGATAAAGAGATAGAAAGAGAGAGAGAGAGAGAGTCAACAGTCAACATGTACAAAACACACCATGTTCGGACCGTTTTTAGAAGTTGAGGTAAAGAGATACAGCGATAACAAGATAGAAAGGGAGAGCGAGAGAGATAGATAGATAGAGAGATAGAGAGAGATAGAGAGATAGATAGATAGATAGATAGATAGATAGATAAGATAAAATAAGTTAAGATAAGATAAGATAACATGAGATAAGATAAGATAAGATAACAAGATAGATAGAGAGAGATAGATAGATAGAGATAGATAGATAGATAGATAGATAAGATAAGATAAGATAAGATGAGATAAGATAAGATAACAAGATAGATAGAGAGAGATAGATAGATAGATAGATAGATAGATAGATAGATAGATAGATAGAGATAGATTGATAGATAGATAGATAGATAGATAGATAAGATAAGATAAGATAAGATAAGATGAGATAAGATAAGATAAGATAACAAGATAGATAGAGAGAGATAGATAAATAGAGATAGATTGATAGATAGATAGAGATAGATTGATAGATAGATAGAGATAGATTGATAGATTGATAGATTGATAGATTGATAGATTGATAGATTGATAGATTGATAGATTGATAGATTGATAGATTGATAGATAGATAGATAGATAAATAGATAGATAGATAGATAGATAGATAATTAGATAGGTAGATAGAAAGATAGATAGATAGATAGATAGATAGATACATAGATAGATAGATAGATAGGTAGATAGATAGATAGATAGATAAATAAATGACATGTAGCTTCGAAGCCCTTAAACGAAGCTTTTCTGCGAGACTTCCTACAAAAATGAAGCTTCGAAACTCAAACACAAAAACTTTTCTGCGAGACTTCCTTCAAAAATGAAGCTTCGAAGCTCTAAAACGAAGCTTTTCTACGAGACTTCCTTCAAAACTGAAGCTTCCAAACTCAAACCTAGCTTCGAAGCCCTTAAACGAAGCTTTTCTGCGAGACTTCCTTCAAAAATGAAGCTTCGAAGCCCTTAAACGAAGCTTTTCTGCGAGACTTCCTCCAAAAATGAAGCTTCGAAGCTCTAAAACGAAGCTTTTCTGCGAGACTTCCTCCAAATGAAGCTTCGAAGGTCTAAAACGACGCTTTTCTGCGAGACTTCCTTCAAAAATGATGCTTCGAAGCTCTACAACGAAGCTTTTCTGCGAGACTTCCTTCAAAAATGAAGCTGCGAAACTCAAAAACGAAGCTTTTCTGCGAGACTTCCTTCAAAAATGAAGCTACGAAACTCAAAAACGAAGCTTTTCTGCGAGACTTCCTCCAAAAATCATGCTTCGGGCACGAATAGGGTCACAGGCGACCACAAAGGTGCCGCACCATTTTCGTGTGGCAGGTGTGGGACTTCGAGCACACCTGGTCACTTGTGACCCTATCTTTTTTACTTCAAAACGTAGAAACAGTGATTAGGGTCACAAGCGACCAATGTCCCCCCTGCACAGCACCCCGCACAGCACTTTGCACAGCACCCTGCACAGCACCTTTGCCAGACTTCGCCACCGCACGACTTCGCCACCGCAGTCTGGACAACACCCTGCACAGCACCCTGCACAGCACCCCGCACAGCACCACCGCCAGACCCCGCCACCGCAGTCCGGACAGCACCCTGCACAGCACCCTGCACAGCACCCTGCACAGCACCCTGCACAGCACCCTGCACAGCACCCTGTACAGCACTGCACAGCATCCTGCACAGCACCTTTGCAAGACTTCGCCACCGCATTCTGGACAGCACCCTGCACAGCACCCTGCACAGCACCCTCCACAGCACCCTGCACAGCACCCTGCACAACCCTGCACAGCACCTTTGCCAGACTTCGCGACCGCACTCTGGACAACACCCTGCAGAGCACCCTGCGCGGCACCCTGCACAGCACCATTGCCAGACTTCGCCACGGCACTCTGGACAACAATGTGCAGAGCACCCTGCACAGCACCCTGCACAGCACCTTTGCCAGACTTCGCCACCGCAGTCTCGACACCCTGCACAGCACCCTGCACAGCACCTTTGCCGGACTTCGCCACCGCAGTCTGGACAGCACCCTGCACAGCACCCTGCACAGCACCCTGCCCAGCACCCTGCACAGCACCCTGCACAGCACCTTTGCCAGACTTCGCCACTGCAGTCTGGACAGCGCCCTGCACAGCACCCTGCACGCAATTTTGCCAGACTTCGCCGCCGCAGTCTGGACAGCACCCTGCACAGCACCCTGCACAGCACTCTTGCACAGCACCCTGCACCGCACCACCGCAGTCTGGACAGCACTCTGCACAGCACCCTGCACAGCACCTTTGCCAGACTTCGCCACCGCAGTCTGGACAGCACCCTGCACAGCACCCTGCACAGCACCCTGCACAGCACCCTGCACAGCACCCCGCACAGCACCCCCGCCAGACTTCGCCACCGCAGTCTGAACAGCACTCTGCACAGCACCCTGCACAGCACCTTTGCCAGACTTCGCCACCGCAGTCTGGACAGCCCTGCACAGCACCCTGCACCACACCTTGCACAGCACCCTGCACCCTGCACAGCACCTTTGCCAGACTTCGCCACCGCAGTCTGGACAGCACCCTGCACAGCACCCCGCACAGCACCCTGCACAGCACCTTTGCCAGACTTCGCCACCGCAGTCTGGACAGCACCCTGCACAGCACCCTGCACAGCACACCCTGCACAGCACCCTGCACAGCACCTTTGCCAGACTTCGCCGCAGTCTGGACAGCACCCTGCACAGCACCCTGCACAGCACCTTTGCCAGACTTCGCCACCGCAGTGTGGACAGCACTCTGCACAGCACCCTGCACAGCACCTTTGCCAGACTCCTCGCCACCGCACTAGTACAGCACCCTGCACAGCACCCTGCACAGCACCCCGCACAGCACCCTGCTCAAAAGTTCGCCACCGAAGACCCCACCTTTGAGAAGTAAGAACCCCTATAGCTTGCCAGCTATCTGGGGAAAAAATCAACGCAATAAAAAAATTGAACTTTTTCCAGCCGCACGGCCCCAAACCAATGAAATTGTTCAATTACTAAAAGTTGTGGTGATGCCAAACTTGAACCTTTTCCAGGCACACGGCCTCCCGATACGACTTTTACAAGCTGATACGACTTAACGCCAGCGTTAGTATTATCTATGTTAAGATTACCAGAGAGTAAACCAACGAAAATGATGATACTTACTGAAAGTTAAATGGTTGGTAAACGTTCATATAGAGTTTGTTTTTCTTGAAACGTAGGTGAACATCATGTGGAATCATCATCCCATTTTCATGGGAAAATCGACAAATGGTTGAAAATCTGCCAGTGGAATCCCAGACCCATGTATGGCGTGACCACTCCCACTTGCGAAAGCTCCAGCTCGCCAGTCTTCAGAACGCACCTCGAAAACGCTGGAACGTTTTGACAAACACCCGAAACTGCCACTGGCCACTGGTTTCCTAATTAATACTGGGTACTGTGGGTACTGGGTACCAACTCAAATCGCCATTGATATGCCATTAATGAATTCAAGCATGAAAATGTACAAACATGAATTGTGGGAAACCCCCCTCCGTGTCCCTCGTTCCTGCTTTTGACCTGTTTCCGGCACTTCCCTCTGTCTCTCTTTCCTCTGTTGGGTCACCTGTGTCCCCTCCCTTGCCATGCCAACTCTATATGTATGTAGGTGTGTATATATATATATGTATGTATATGTATGTATGTATGTATGTATGTATGTATGTATGTATGTATGTATATGTATGTATGTATGTATGTATGTATGTATGTATGTATGTATGTATGTATGTATGTGTATGTATGTATGTATGTATGTATGTAGTATGTATGTATGTATGTATGTATGTATGTATGTATGTATGTATGTATGTATGTATGTATGTATGTATGTATGTATGTATGTATGTATGTATGTATGTATGTATGTATGTATGTATGTATGTATGTATGTATGTAGTATGTATGTATGTATGTATGTATGTATGTATGTATGTATGTATGTATGTATGTATGTATGTATGTATGTATGTATGTATGTATGTATGTATGTATGTATGTATGTATGTATGTATGTATATGTATATGTATATATATATAGTGTGTGTGTGTGCGTGTGTATTTATATGTGTTCTCAAGTATATCTCATCATCGCAATTCCTGCCACACAATGCCACTTTGTATGTCAAATGTTTGATGACACTCTGCCGGTATGAAATTCACCACGTACAACTCTCAATGTTTCAATATATATATATACATATACTATATACATCACATATAATCAGGCATACAATGACATATAATATAATATAATATACTTATGTATAAACTACAAACTACAATTAATATGCCTATAATTAATTATGAATTATGCCTATTATCAAATTTAATATACACCCCAAACCTGACTTTGGCCAACCCCCTTTGGTTCCTGCCCACCTCAACACCTCGGACAGCACGAAGGCCTCCGCAGGATTACACCAGGAGGCGCGATCTCGCGCCTCTGCGCGATCCGGCAAGCGCTGGGTGTCCAGCAGGGCCACGCCTTCGCCTTCGATGGGCCAATCAAAGCCTTGAGGAGGGAGCCTGGCGACGACAAAAGAGGCGGCGAAATTATGTTAGATGGGCACTATATACGCATAATGTAATATATATATGTCACTCAGTCGGCTGCACACATATACATATTACTTTATCTTACATATTATAAATATTGTATACTCAAATATTATATATTTTAGGTTATAGATTATATATTATATTTATTTTATATTATATATATATATATATTCTATTATAGATTATAGATTTTTGTATTATATGTTATCTGTTATATGTAATATTATGTGTATATATATATATATATTAGAAACATTAAATAATAAGTTTTATATGTTAAATATTGTGTATTGTATGTTGTATATCATAATAGATTACATTATGTATATGTATATATATATATATAGTGATATATATATATATATGTATGTATGTATGTATGTATGTACGTGCGTACGTACGTATGTATGTGGCTCATGTTGTTACATTTAGATATATACTATGAAGGCATATCAGCCCTTTATAATGGTTAGCATGGAAATGGCTGTGTACTTTGAGGCTGCTTGCTCTAAATTACTCTGACTGGTTTTACTTATCAGGAGCAGATTCATATTATGAGTTTGCCAACTCCAGATAATTGAAAGAGAGAATTTGGATATCGGAGCCAGGTGCGGGAAGGATTTGGGTTAACCTCATGGTTCAATGATCGTGAATGCATTCCAGCATTCAAGCCAAAGCTGGAAACACACAACCTCGATCCTCCAGATACATGAAAATACGATGTAGAAAGCAGGTATGTTGCATTACGTCGCATTAACAAACTAGGCAATGGCACAAATCACTCAACTGATCTCAACTGCAAATCCTCCTCAGAATCTGTGTGCGCACATCTCTGCATCTAGTTACTAGTTTCTTTCCCTTGGGTGCACCCCGCCTACTTTGAGGCTTCACACCACTACGGAGCTTCCCCCCATAGAACTCCATGGAGCTGTGTTCTGCGATGCACGGATGCATTCGGAACTGCGTGTCCAGGAAAAACGATGGAAAGCCACGTGACACCAGACGTTGGAAGAGCGAAAGCGTTAAGCCACGCGTCTCGGCTTCCAAAGACAGGGCCGTGGCAGGTAACTGGCAATGGTCCCCAACCAGGACCAGTCTTCTTGCATGGACATTCGCAATGGGCACTAACGCTGAGATTTCAGTGGTTTGAGCTGCCTCATCAGGAACTTGACCCATTTAAAAATCCACCAAGATATAGCAACTTTAAAGATGGGGGTTGATTTGTCCAAGGAAACCCAGATCTTTTCCAGGAAACCGTGGGTTTAAGGCCCGCCTCATCCATCAGAATGGCCCCATACTTCCGGTTGTTACCTGAGACCAAGTTCGATGCCGAGGAGATCGTAGTGACGCAGACAACATCGGCGGCATCGATAATGTTCTGGCAGGCCTCCAGTGATATCCTACAAATCTGCTGGTATATGTTGGTATCTTAGCTACATATTTACATATTTACATGTGTGCATATTACCTAAGCGTAGTGATATATATGCGTGCGCATGTGTTTAATGATCTATCTAACCTTCATTTGCATTCCTATTGTGTATTGACATTGTTCTGTAGCTGTATGCTTGTATTCTATCTACATATCCGTAGATAAATATAATATATATATATATAGATAGATAGATATATATATATATATAGATATATATATATATACACAGAGTATCTTCTTCTGTATGCATCAGAACGGCGGCAGCCAAGAGTTGCCCATCCACTGTCAGGCCTCATAGCGCGCAGTCTTGTCACCATAATCCAGGCCTGGATATTGCTCCTCGATCAGCGAGTTCAGCGTGCACTCATCCAACTCCTGACTCACCCGATCTCCCTTGGCCAAACGGACCACCCGGAGCCCAGCAGCATATGCCTGGGCAGAAAGATACATCGCTGGGGATCATATATTTGAGTGAAAAAGGGTAAAATCGACTAATAGAAATCTTTTAAATTGAAGATTTACTGATTTACACTTTCATAATTCAACCTGGCTATGCAAGACATAGCCATGTCATATGTTTATCAAAAAGTTCAGTTATAAACAAATACATATTATCAATTCTCGCGATTTTGGGTACAGCAACACCCCAACTCAAGGGCCTTCTCTGCAATGTTGTCCACTGCGATGTTATTATGGGAGGTGACCAGCACTGGCTTCACCCCCATCCGCGCCCACATTTTCAAAATCTCCACGGAGACGTGGGTCTTCCCTGTCCCTGGAGGCCCTTGGATCACCGTGAGCTGCTGGGCCAGGGCTGCCTGTACCGCCTGCTGCTGTGAGTCGTTGAGCCTGGAGACGGACTCAGAGATGTCGGGGTCCAGGTCCACCTCGTCGCCCTCCAAAAAGTCCGAGAAATCCTTCAGGAGCAAACAACCCTTGGGGCTGATCACAGGCCCTTCCTTAGCCAAGGCTCGCAGTTTCGAAACTCCTCCGGAGACTTCAGGGTTCTCGCCTGCGTCCTGCTCTTCATCTGCTACCTCGGGGAAACATGCAATAGTATACAATTAAGAGAAACATGGATAGATTCATAAGAAATGACCAACTTCTGTCGTCAGGGCTCATTGAAGACGTATAAGTGTATGCACATATATCTCTCTATACATACATACATACATACATACATACATACATACATACATACATACATACATACATACATACATACATACATACATACATACATACATACATACATACATACATACATACATACATACATACATACATACATACATACATACATACATACATACATACATACATACATACATACATACATTACATACATACATTACATACAATACATACAATACATACATTACATACATTACATACATTACATACATTACATACATTACATACATTACATACATACATACATACATACATACATATATATATATGTATATATATAT